ACTGCATAGAGTTGCAGAGCAAGCAGAAGACATGCTCCCCATCATTGAGAAATTTACTAACTGGCTTACTAATAGTGAAATCCAGACACTCTCTACTTCCAGGCTCTCGGATGCCCTTGCGTTTGCTGCTGAAGTACTGGGTTTCAGAGAAGAGTGATAGTTTCTGCCTCTGTTATCTCCTCCCAATGCACTTGCCATTTTTTGTGGGCTTCAGCACTCATAGCCAGCTTGGAAGGGGATACCAGGCACGCGATTAAAAGACGCAGGCTTCCAGCACGTATTATTGCTGTGGTCATACAGGGTCTGTGCGTGAAGATGGCAGCAGTCTTGCTGGCTGTGTCCCTGTGACTATAGCGTAAAGAAGGACAAAGCACAGGCCTGATCACCTGAGCTATGAGTTATGACTGCCTGGACTTTGTGCTTGAAGGGCTTGGTGCCCCACCGGGCACTAACCTGGCTTCTTTTACCATACAAAGTAATAACAGCAATTCTTTTTTAATATAGAGTTCCTTCTACTCCTGCCATTTGCTCAGGAACCTGGCCTGCAGTGGTTGATAACATCATTCTGAGAAATTCACCTTTGCTTCCCATTCCATTCCAGCTACTGAAATTCCTAAAAGAATCACCACTGTGATAGAGCCTATTATCCGGATGTCGTTGGTTGGATCCACCATCATTGAATCACTCTCCTGGAATGAAAAAAAAATCATTAAAATGGTTAGAGATGGAGTTTTGTCTTTTTTTTTTGCCTTGTATGTCTTATTGTAGCATTTAACAGTAAGGAGAGGAGATATTATGCAGTAATGTCTGGGGCTACACAGGATAATAGAAAGATAAAATGCTCATAAATTTGAAAAGATGAAGAATCTAACATTATTTTTTCCCTGTGATAATAGGCCTTTGATAGCCAAGATTAGGAGTTGGAAATTTTAGAGATTAATTTCAGTTACAGCTTTTGAAGCTATCGCAGCACTAAGTAGAAGTACATGTACATACACATGTCATGTTTTATTTCAGAAGAGTGACTAGTTATCTTTGTGTGTCAAAAGGGATCCTAGAGGAATAAAAGTGAGTGCTTTCCAATGTGAATATCAGAAAATAAATGCTATTCAATAAAGAACAGTCTATGAACTATGTGCTCCTCTCATTTATCCATCTAATTTTTTGAATAGAGGTACTGTTACCAATTGAATTCAGTGTATGCTGTCACTACCATGAAAGGAGGACTAGAAGTTGGCTCCTGTACTAGCTAAGTAATGTGCTCACCTGTATACCATCCAGACGGGGCACCTATACTGAAAAATGCCTAGTTTCCTGCAGTGAGTTATTCTAATGTTTGAACTTTCTTTCCCTTTGGAAATCTGTATGCATAATAGTAATACTGCTGCTGATAATAATACCCATTATTTGTCTTTCCTGTCATATTTTACACTGTATTTCATGTACATTGTTTCATTCGATCTGTACCACGTTTCTGTAAAATACATAGAACAATATTACTAACCCATACTATAGATTTGAATAACAAGGTTCAGATGAACAGAGGGTCTGGTCCAAAATCCCTCAGCTGCTAAGTGTCTGAGCCAGTTCTGATGTGAAACCTAGGGCTCCTTCAACTATATTCAACTTCCACCTTCTGCAGAATAAATCCACTTCCTCTCATCTTGCCATAATGATATCCCCTAGTGCCCTGAAAAGGCAAATTAAACCGAATTATCTTGCTCGGCTGAAGAAACAAGAAACTTTTAATCACCTTAAGAAGATCGACCACAGTCTCAGCAAATCCCACCACGTACATAGCAACAGCCACTGCGTTGGCGAAAGCAAAGATCAAGCCTATAGACCCACCAAACTCCGGCCCTAAGCTTCTGGAAATAAGGTAGTAGGCCCCACCTGGAACAAGAAACGAACATGCTTCACACTGAGGAGCTGCTAGGGGACTTACTTTATATAACCAAATAATTCTGAATGTCTGAGAACATTTAAAATACCAACTATCCTAATAAAAAATTGTACAAATCCTAGCAGTTCAAGAAATCTTGTGTTACCTTAATGAATAACTTAGCCCTCCTTTGTATACTATATATAATTTACAATAGAACTATCTTGACTAAATAGTTCATTGGCATATATAATACACAAATGCTACAGATTAGAGTACAGCAAACTTTATGGCCCCAATTTTTTTATCTTTTGAAAAACTTCACTGGAGGATTCAAATCGATAATGTAACTGAAGTAAAATTTCATAGCCCAAATTTCCAGGAATAGGCAGGCCTGGGCAGAAAACAAAGTGGGTAAAGTTTATCATTGTCATCCTCACTTCTTTTCTGGTATAATTTCTGGTCCATATTTACTACATAAAAAAGGCACCTGTATAGTGCTATGTATTATCCACTCTATAAATCAGACTTGGTTTTTATAGTTTTTGCTTAAGAAGCACGATTATTGCCGGATACCCACATGCGTATGGGGCGGCAAATGGGAAGAAAGGTAAGGAGGGCTTGGGATCTTTGCTTCTCCCTTTAGACCTTGAAAAGGTAGTTTTACACATGGCTGTGTATGTCTGTGCACAGGAAGGGCTGAGCCAGAATGGTCAACTGCCCAGAGAGAGCTGAGAGCAGGTTACTGAAGGTAAAAATGACTAGATGTCTAGATAACTAGGTGCTGTCACAGACCGTAGTGAGTTAATGACTTCCTATACTGACTAGCCTTAGACATGGACAGAACTGGTAGGGGAATGACACTGAACACCCCTACCTACAACCAAAACAATCTTTCACTGAAAAGAGTTTCACTATTTCCTCCACTTCAGTAACTCCTTTGGGTTAAGGGGACAGAACCTTCTCTAAAAATGTAAACTTGTCTTTGTGGGGGCAAATCCCCATTACATCCTTTGTCCTGATTACATTAAATAAATTAGCAGCCAGTTACTAGGCTTGGTCAAGATGAGAGAGAGGCAGAAATTGTGAGGGGAGCTGTGTTGTGGGTAGGATGGTGTTTTATCAGGCCTATCCTAGGGAGACCTGGATAGAACTCCCAAGTAGAGACCCAAGGGGCCAAAACAGAATGGCAAGGGGAAGAAAGCAAGTTAGAACAAAGATAAACCACCTGCTCCTTTTCTGCTAAGGCCTGTTTGTTCCTGGGTAATTTGAAAGGAACTCTGCTTTATTTGTTTGTTTTTATTTTCTTTTTAAGACTCTCCTCATGCTTTTGGCCATTAGGAGTATGGTATTGGGGTGAACTCTGAGGGTTCCCTGAGTGGGGTGTCAGCTGGGATGCTGGAGGAGACCCTTCTGAGGGGAACTGGAAGAGAGCCAGTGGGCTCGTCCAAGGCACAAAGAAACCATATTTTTTAATACTCTGCTTTCTTTCTAGACACCTGGTCATTCTTTACTTTATAAACATGTTTAATCACAAGAAATAGGCAAAAAAATCTTTTCTGATGATCTCTTAACTTTGGTTGAAAAGAAACTTTCAACTTGCTATTTAAATGTTGGATTAGTTTGTTTTGTTTTAAGGCTTTGGGGGCTAATTCTCAACATGCAAATTTTACTTCTAACATTAAACCAACTCTAGATATCACTCTATAACCAAAGTTTGTAGTCACAAGTAAATGAATTGGCTTACCTCCTCTTACTACTCCATTTGTGCAAATAGCAGACATAGAAATACCTGTGAGTGTTGTCACTACCACACTCAGGCCAATGATGATGACTCCAAGACCTGAAAAATCCCCCAAGACAGGTGTTTGGCTCCAGTCCTTCAAGAAGACACCACAACTTCAGGAGGTCACAGCCTGAATCTTGTCAAGGAAGGATCAGTCTCCCCATGAAAAACCTGAAATGTTCTAAAAGATCTCACTCCATCTAGGTCTAGGAAGGTCTACGATGCACCTGAAATGTACTAAACTTTAACACTGAAGCCATGTCGAGGAATCGTTTTCCAAGAAAAGCCAGCAAGGGGTGTGCACCAGACTGAAAAAATAAAACATTTACCCAAGGAATTTGAACATCTGTAAATCAGGACCTGCAATGTGCCAGAGAGAATCATTAGAAAAGAGACCACAGCTGCCAGAGTTGACCAGGACTGTACTCACAATACCTTATGTTTCCTTCTGCATCCAGCTCATCCCAGTAGTTAGTCAGATTTCAGTAACATCAAGCTACTTTCTTGTTCCCATCAAAATGAAGCATATAAAAAAAAAATTTTGCCTACCCGTAGCAAGTGATGAGAGCATTTAGATATCTTAGAAATTTTACCTCCACGAACAAACCCGTTAGTTGCTATTGCAGAAGTTGACAACCCAGTAATAGAAGTTACCATGGTGGAAAGAAGAATTATGAGAACTCCAAGACCTGTTAGCAATGAAAGATAGAAGATATTACATTTTACTTTTCTTCCTGCGATTCCCTATTTGCTGTAAAAACTATACTGCTTTGAATTTAAGTTTTCACACTCCAAGCCTTGGGCCCCCATGGAGTTCCTGTGTGCTGAGGAGAAACTGGTCTGCCTGGCGTAAAGATCAAGTCGGAGAACTGCTCATTATGATGAAGGATGGTTTCCGAAAGTAAACACAGCCTAAAATGCAGCTCTGGAAAGGAAAAAAAGTTGACTCACGCTGGTGTCCTGGGACAGAACTACCCTGGCTGTGAAAAGAGAAAACATAACATTTGACCTTCTCTCTTGCTTGAGAGGAACCTGAATGAGAAAGTTGCGGGTTTGACGAAGGTTAAATCCTTCTCCATTTTTCTTGCATCTCTCTTGCCCAGCAGGGGGAAAAAAAAGAACCAACTTGGGTTACCTTTGAAAACACTCCAGAAAGGTCAGTGGTGAACTATTTGGGCCTGTGCTGCCTTTACCTTACAAATGATCGTGCAGGTTCCAAGTTTAATTACCTCCTCTGACATATCCATTTGTGGCAATAGCAGAGGTGGATAAACCAGTGATACCAGTCACTGTCACGGCTAAGCCGATGATAATCACACCAAGACCTCAGTTGAGAGAGGAAAAATAAAGGCAATTAAATGGTGGAACAATCTATTAGATCGTTTACATAAGAGCCAGCAAGTCAAGCGTAGTCACCAGAGGAACACATTTGAGTTTAACAAGTTGGTCTGGAAATCACCACAGGGTACATGCTCAGCTTTGAAGATTTCTGACTGTAGCAACACAGATCCAAGAAACTCAAGAGCTAAGATGTGCAGTGCAAAGTTGCACAAAACCGAACAGCCACGACTAGTCAAAATTTAATGTGAACCCCATTTTTTTATGAAGTCCTAGACAGCCACAAACATAATAATTGCTCTCTACAATTTCAAGGTGTTACTGTTACTGGAGAGTAAATGTTCATCCTTCCAGGAAACTATCTTTTTATGTACATTTGATTGTGTAGGAGTGGAAAATTACGTACAGTATAGAAAATTGTTCCTCTGGCAGATGAGTAAAGTGGAAAGAATCAAATCAAACTATATTCACTTATTGGCTCTGTGAGCTCTGGCAAGTTACTTATTTTCTGAGCCAAAAATGGCAATGAAATTATAAAGAATGCATGTGTAAAATGGCTATGTGTAGAGAGAGCAGTGGCCACCTGTAAAGACAGAGTGTGTGTAAAGCGGCATTGGTCATCGAATGCAGGGCATAATCACTGCCACTGCTTTTTACTCGTATCTACAATAGTCATAACAGCTATTGTTTATTAAAAGTCAACTGTATATCCAGCTGTGTTAGGTGGTACGAGAAATACAAGGAAAAGTAAAAATGATAAAAGCTGCCCTCAAGGATCTTACAGTGCAGAATCATTTATTAAGAGAGAGAGAAAGTAGACCAGAATTCAGAGGAAGGCAAGGCTGCTTTCAGGTTCAGGAAATACACAGCGGGGGGACACTGAAGAGTAGCAGAGTATGCTGTCCCCAAATTTGCATAAGGATTATTTTCAGCGAAAGACAACTGAAAAGGAGGAGATACCTCCCCTTATTTGCCTAAAAGCAAGACATAAATTTATAAAGGTGCCTCCTCTTTCCTCTATACTGGGGACAGTTATCAGATGGAGACTGGAGATGATACCAGAGAAATCCAAATAGACTACTAACCAGCCCTTATCTTCCATTCCCCCCGCACCCCCATATATTTGCCATCCCACAATGTGCCACTCTAGAAACTCAGCCCTTTTCCTTTGTCTTGTCACTTTTCTAAAAATGCATTGTTCTTTTGTTAAGAAGCTTATATAAGCCCACCCCCTTTGAATTACTCATCGCAGAGGATTCCCATGTGTATGCATGACGCATGTGTTAATAAACTTCTGATTGTTTTTCTCTTGTTAATCTGTATGTCGTCAGTCTAGTTACAGGGCCCTAGCCCATGAGCCTAAGATGAGTGGAGGGAAAACAGTTTTTCCTCCCCTTCAATACCCTCCTCAGTGGAGGCCAACATCAAACTCAGGGAGAAGTTTTAGGGTCCCAGGCGCTGAAATCACCCTGGCTCCAGCCAGAATGCTCTTGCCTAGGCCTGTTTGGTTGCTGGTGGTAGGTTCTCTTGTTCCAAGGATGATGAGAAGGGCAGTTGGCCCAGAGAGGCCGTGATCTCTCTGGCCAAGCCCTAGACAAAGGGGCAGTGGAGGGAGGTTAAGGACAGAAATGGGAACGAGGTATGGGACGTTGGTTCTTTCGATGCTGCCGGTTATACCTTGGCTCTACCAGAATTTTTTAGGCTATTTTACAGGTTAAAGTGCAGTAGGAAGAGGCTAACCGTGGGCATGAGATACAAACTTGGGCTATATTTGTTTGGCCCCTACAGACTCTTAAAAGTTTGGTGTTGTAAGAAATAGTTACACTAAATTCTTCTTATCTTTTGCAGGGATCCTGTGAGCACCACCTGTGAGCATCACTATGTGGTTCAGGTCTGTGTGCCACTAAAGCTGGCTTCTTTTCATTTTATTTACTTAGTGCACATTGTTTTAACCCTTGACTTTGAGGAAGTTTAATGTCAAATATTTAGCTCACTCCAACAACTGTATAAAACCATCTAGTTTGTACTTCATGACCTTAAACCTACTCTTTTATTATTTCCCTACCCTTGTATTTCTTTTGCCTTTCTTTCCCCAACAATTCTTAATTTATCCTTTTGCATTGTATGTATTTCTATAAACCATTCAAAATCCTGAAGCAATCCTGTATACATTTAAACAGCAAGGGATTTGCTTCTCTCTCACAATCAGACATCAAACCTAGGGTAAAAAGGCAGCTTAGAAGACATTCAGTTTATAGTTTTCTCAAACTGGGGGCCCTGAACCACCTGCTTCAGGGAATGCCTCGGGAGCTGATTAAATGTGCCCAGACCTACTGAGTTTGGATCTTTCGAAGTGAATCCCAGGGTTCTACAGTTTTGTAACTAACTCCCCAGGTAATTAGTATGCACCTCACTGTCCGAAGATTATTGAGCTACCCTTAGCCGGTCTCAATTTGTGTTTGCCTGTTCCGCAAGGTTCTTTAGCTTTATCTTCAAAGCGTTTACTGAGAAACAATTAATCCATCTCCCTAATTTTCAGATGAGAAAGTGAAATGCACAGAATAGAAATGACTTGCTTCAGGTCACACCTGCTTTTCACACCCTTCTTCCTTGTCTGATGGTTAAGTTTATTGGATACCATCATGCTCCAGCCAAGGCCTTCAAGACAGAGAACAACTAGATGGCATTATCAGCTCATTCTACCATATGCTTTGGGGGACAAGGCAGCCAAAACTCATAACCTCCGAACAGTTACCCTAGGGCTGTAGCTACCATTACTTCTGGCTCCAGCTTCCTTCTGGCTTTGTTCCCAGGATCTGGCTTGAAAGCGTATTCAGGTTTCTTCCTCCAACTGCCCCCAAAGCAAGAAGGAACTGCTTGTATTTGCTTATTTTCTTTCCCAATAAAGGGAACCTGAATGGGCCCCAGACACAGACTTAATCAACTCATTTAGCTTTATGTTCCTAGCAAGGCCAGTAAAACTGAGTAAGGGTGATAGATAATAAGTTTCTACTACTCACTAAAGTCTATCTTCTCAGATTAAAAAAGTAAAACACTTCCATTCGAAGGAAAACCCACTGGACACCCATTTAGGTAGAACCCTACCCTCTTCTAAAGTTGGATTTGACTACTTAAATAAAAGGTCCTTATTAAAACTATGCGGATGTCTGGAAGTGTAATAAACAGTTGAGCAGGAGATAGGATTCTTCATATTCTGTAATTTTGCAGTAAACATGCAACTGGGTTGACTGTGAAGAGTAATGTAAGATCTGATTAAAGTTCAGATTATTGCCGAAACATATGGATTTTAAATAAGTTGCATTAAAAAGAATTACTCTTGCCCTGGGCTGCACTCACACCTCCAAACAAAGTAATGTTTCCTGATGATCTCAATAAGTTACTAAACTGCCCTTAAAAAACTAATTTTGCATGAAACCCTGGAGCAACAACTTGGCAATATTAAGAAGCAGATTTTCCATGGAGCAGCATATACTTATTGTAGACCCTGAGGCTGTAAGTGTTCATTTGCTATGCATCATAAAGCCGGCAAGCAGCCCTTTGTCAGGAACCCAGCAGTTGCCAAACATGCAACGTGGAAAAACTATGGGAAATGGTTCCAGCTCTTTGTTTTTTGTGTTAGGCTTCTGGTGATTCTGAATGTGTTCTGAGAAGCTAAGGCAATAAATAATGACCAAGTAAGTACCTTTTAATAAAATGTGAATTGAGACACATTTTGGAGTAGAATCTGAAAGCAGGTCTAAACTTCTATGTTCTTGATACTAATGATTTTTTTAATAGCTCTTTGATTAGCTATTTTTAAAATTTGTTTCTATTGTTGCTGTTTTTTTTTTGTTGGGGGGGAATTTGGTTTATTTATTTTTAACGGAGGTACTGGGGATTGAACCCAGGACTTCGTGCATGCTAAGCACACACTTGACCACTGAGCTAGACCCTCAGCCAGATACTAATGATTTATAGGTGTGCTCCTCAAGGTGAATATTTTCCACATA